TAAGAAGCCGTTAGATTTGTCACAAGACTAAAATCAGCTGATTAGAGAGAAAAGATAAAGTGTTTGAGAAAAAAACACAGAAAGCTGTTATTTCGCAATAAGAACGACAGTTATCCCTTGAAAAATGAAAAATTCTATATCTCCTCAAGGAAACGCATTCGAGGCTTGAAACTTTCAGCGTAAATACTAGACTAAGGTAAATATCATGGTGAAAGTTTCAAGCGGATACTCTTGAATTTGACGGAGTTATGGATTTTTCAATTTCTTGGGTTTTCCACTAGGAAAATTAGAAAAATGCGTCTAACTTTTGAAGGAAGCAAATTGCGCACTATTCCTCTTAGGCTTTTTCATATCTCCATATGACCTATCGAATGGCATATGAACGAAGGAAATCGGAAGGGGACACCTCAGGGGGTTTCCTCGTAAGAAAAGAAACAGAAAAAGACGTTTTGGGAAATATATTCACTTTATTTCGCTAAATGTTGAATAAAATCATCATGTTCTATAAACACACGTTAGTGTATCGAGGTGTTCTAGATCTCAAAGATTAATTTCTGTCAGATGTTGCTGGAGGATAGGGATATGGAGGCGGTGGCATTTCTCCAACAGTCATCATAGTTGGATTCTGATAACCATAAGCAGGTGCAATAAACCCTTGATGAACAACAGGAGGAACGTGTGCAGTCCTTCGTTTTGTAATATGAATGAACAAAACGACAAGTACAATAAATATGAGTAGTCCTCCAATAACAGAAGGTAGAATAATAGCAAAAATAAATCGGATGTTAGATTTATATTTATATTGACACGTTTTTGTTGTATAGTCGCAATTTCCAGATAAACAAGAGTAATCATATCTACATGACATACCAGAACTTTTTTGAATTTTACACTTGTAGCCTGAGTCAGGATCACAATAGGCCGCAGTACCACATTCCCGAACATGAGCATGATGACCAGAACAGGTTTGTCCTAATCTTATTTCATCTTGACATTCATGATCTTCACAATAACATTGACATGATCTATCACTATGACATATACAACCTTGTGAGCATAGTGAACGAGCACTACCTGTAAGACTGTAGACGGTGGTGATAATTAATAATAAACTGAACATTCTTTTGTTAACAATTACTTTTTAGATACTAAACATAAATATAAGATAAAATCTCTCATAAAACATTGTGCGTATTTTCATCTGAATTTGACCACAGTCTGTTTAAACATAAACAACGTAAGTTTAAACGTAAAGTTCTGCATTTTAAATACATTACAAATTTACAATTTTTTAAGCTGGAAAAAATCGAAAGTTTTTAGAAAAATCAAAATTTTGCCCGTAGACCCCGGTTATCTCTGGAGAAGCTTTTTTTGATAAAACTGATAAGATTCTTATTGGAATTTTATCAGTTTCTTATACAAGATTCTTTAAGATTTCCCATCGATAGTCGTAATTGTCTTATACGAATCTTATAAGATTTTCATAAGAGATTCGGAAGAAATTCATAAGAAGTGCCAAAAATTCTTATGTTATTCTTATTTACTAAAAGGCAGCTTATGAGTTGATTTTGCTGGTTTCTGTTATGATTAAGTTGCTTCTGTTGGCTCGAAAACTTCATAAGAGTTTTTGGCACTTCTAATGGATTTCTCATGAACCTCTTATGGAAATCTTATAAGATTCTTATAAGACACTTACGACTGTCGAGGAGAAATCTTAAACAATCTTATGTAAGAAACTGATAAAATTCCGATAAGAATCAAGTCACCGATAGAGACTTACGAGCGAACCTTTCCAGGTGTCCGACCGCTTTTCTAACGAAATGCGATAGTTTATAGGTAATCGACTATGCTGATTCCGAATATGATAGCCATTTGGCCCGAGGTCTTTCCTAACCGGTTTCTGGAAAACCAGCTTTCCAGAAACTAGGAATGGCCTATGGGCAAAAACGGCTATCATATTCGGAATCAGCATAGTCGATTACGTATAAACTACCGCATTTCGTTAGAAAAACGATCGGACACCTGAAAAGGTTCCCTCGTTAGACGTTTCTGATAAGATTCTTATATAAGAATCGATGTCTAGGGATTAAACGAAAACTATCCAGAATATGTGCGTAAGAAAAAGGCATGAATGAGATAGAATAAAGATTCTAATAAAGTACTTAGACATGAAAAACTTGACTTCAATATTCAGTAATAAAAGAATTTGGTTCAAATTCTTCATGATTATCTCGAAGAAGATTTTGGTACTTACGAATGGCTGAATGGTTAATAAGCGTACTTTGGCTCTTAGCGTCTATATGATAAAGCAAATAATATACAGTAAAAACAAAATGTTTTATTTATCAAGTGTTTATTCAGTGATAAATACTCCTATTTTTTATTTCCATGTGGTTAATAGCCTAGTGTTTGAAAAACAAAATCACTCTTTTCTAGAAACGAAGAAAAATGTTTTATTTTTTTATCATTCTGTCCATGATAGATATGTCGAGTAATGGCATGATTGAAATAAAAAATAATATCACCGTATACTGCAGCAATAAGAACCTGGTATACACATGCTAACAGAAAGTTTTACTATCATAAAATCTAGAATAATAACTAAAAACGATAAAATAGCCAGACCACTGAAGATTCCGAAATATGGTAGCTTATAAATATTTATAACTCTCAACTTTTTTCGGCCAATTTTCCATCAGAAAACCACTTATAAACCCATTTATAAATCAAAAACTTATAAATAAACGTTATAAATCGATTTATCACATTTTCGGACATTGCCCAAACTATTTTACACTCTGCAGTAGACTGGACAAATAAGTATAAGTCGTGTACTTCATACACAAGACTTGTGTCTTCTTGGATTTAGACCGTTAGCTTCTCAAAAAAGATACAAATCCATACTTTACAATGTATCTGTTTTTAATCAATTAAAAAGTAACTCTTTTGCGAAACGAATATTTTAGCAAGAAATTGTTCCGTTTCTCAAAAGAGATACATTATCTCTCATTTCTATATTCCAAATAAAAATTAAATTAAATAAGAGGTAGAAGCAATCAAAATTATCTTAAGTGATACTTAGTACTTATATTTAAAAACAATTTTGTTTTCAAAAAGAAGTTGATTTGTCAACTGTTTGTAAATCGTAAACGTCAACTGTTGTTTCGAATTGTTTATAAATAACACTGCTCAAAGTAATGTTGTCTCACTCTTCAAATTATCATGGATTTTTTTGTACGACAGCAAAGTCAAAAAGGCGCTTCTACCATATTGTTCAAAGAAAATCGTTTTCGACGTCAACGGAAGGTCAATCCATATAGACCCTACCACGCGTAACAGTCGCATTGTTGGACAAAGTCGATCACTGAAAAACATTGAAACTAATATTGTAAAGAATAGTCGATTACATATAAAAATCTATTTTTTGCTTTATCTGACGCTCTTTTGTACAAGAATTTGGGGATCTAAGCAGAGTCGATTTAGTGTTCGGGACGCATGCCTCGTTCATTTAATCTCAGATGGGGAGGGATAGTGATCCGTGATATAAACTAAAATTTCTTTATTTCGCTGAAATTTACTAGTGCAAAATTGCTATATCCCATTTATAAACTTGAATACTTCTGGCTACGCCTCAAAAGTGATAGAAATCCATATTTTAGAATGTATCTGTTTTAATCAATTAAAAAGTATCTCTTTTGGCAAGAAATTATTGCGTTTCTCAACAAAGATACATTATGTCCGAGCTTGGGAAAAAGTCTTTTGCTTGATCAAGGTTAGTGTGATTTTAGTGATACGGTATTACTATGTAGAATAGAGTGTCTATAGCCAAGTTCATCAAAACCTTCTGATTTTCATATAGGAATAGTCAGAAGACTGCTGCGAACCGAACTGAACCATGTATTCCTTTTTGAAATGAACACATGTTTTCAATAAAGTTGTATATGTGCCGAAATTATATCTTCTTCCTTATTTGTACACTCCCCGTATTTGTCTTTCCTAATTTCGACATCTCCATTGAAATACACGGCGTTTCAATAGTCTTTTAGACAAAAGATATGAACGCTAACCAAAAATCAAAACTATCGTACACTCTAGGAACAAAAAATCTTCCATATTCAGGGTTATAACTGGTAAAAGACTGAACTAACAACGCTTTCTATCTCTTTACACATGGCGTATTATCATGTACAAAGTGTCAACAATTCAAGGTATCAAGGACAAGACCAGCTGGAACATTGCAACCAAGCGAACCACCAACAGGTGTTTTGGATTTGATGGGGTTAGATTTTATTGGTCCACTACCATCATCTGTAGCGGGTAATAAATATATTCTAGTATGCACGGATTATTTATCCCGATGGGCTGTTACACAAGCAACGTCCAATTGTACGGCTGAAACAGCAGCTAAATTTCTGGTGGAAAAGATAATTTTACAATATGGTGTTCCAAAATAATCATTAACAGATAAAGGAAGTCATTCTATCGCTAATGTATTTAAAACTATAGCTTCCCGTTGTGGTGTTATTCATATTAAAACAACAACATACCATCCACAAACGAATGGCCTAACAGAACGATTTAATGCCACGTTAGCGGGTTCAATAGGTACATATGCTGATGAAACAGCATAATGAACCGGATGAAACAACATAATAAGATCATCGACAAAGACCAGGAGAAATCGAATTCAGAAATGTTTGATCCAATGTTTGATCCAACGAAAGCATTCATCATTGATAATGGAATTAACCCAGAGAAACGAAAAATTAAAGAAACAATTTATCCAACCATAAATAATTCAATCAATCGTCGATATGATACCACTAAAATCTGGACACCTATCATTCATTCAATATATACAAATCAAGAGTAATATCCATTAAAACGCCAAACATTTGACTATGCCACATATCCCGGCAAGACCGTGATAATGGATCGGAAAAAGAAGACCTTTAGCTCTCTCATCCAGTATTACCGTCTTGTCCAGATCCAATATCAATTAGCAATAGATCCAAGAATAAGAACAGCACAAAAGAAAAAAGATAAAACATAAAAAATGATTAGAAGTTTATATATAAGGTGCTGGCAAGTCGGTCGCCACTTATATATACATACAAGAAATAGTTTCTCACATTGAGAGAGAAAGAAAGAAAACATACATCGGGTCAACTTTCATAATAACAAGAAGGAATCGTACAATATTGTTAAAGTTTTATCAGCACCAATAACAAGGTTCTAACTTAATTATAAAAGTAAGTTAAGTTTAGCTTAGCAGATACCTGCTGGGCTAGAATGTAATTTGAAACGACTCTGAGCTAAAGAACAGGACGCTGAAACAAGTTCAAGAACTCAATTTTATCCCTTCTTTTTGAAACAGAAGTGCACTGAAAGGCTGAAATTAAAACAAAGTTTATTCGAAAGTTATAACTCGAGTAAGTGGTAGGAGAAGTAGCACTTTTTGCATTGTTGACTCAAAGTGGAATTGCGTAGTTATGATCGGTGTTTAGTACTATAATGAAATTCATTAAAAGACTCAGATCGAAATAAAAATAGGAGACTGAACGATATTTAATCGTGTCGAACGCGTCCCTCTATTTGGTGAAACAGTGAAGAATCCGTCTCACTATGTAACCTAACGGTGAAGAGTATATTTCATTGCGGGAACGAACAAGTTACAGTCGATCGGACCTGCCTGTCGAAGCCATAGTAATCTCAGAGAATGAGGTTCTTTCGTGTGTTGATCGTTTCTGTAGCCGGCAAATGGATCCATCAAAGATCATGGCGCCACATGACACGCCGTGCACATTGGCAGTGGTGATCTCTTTCAAGTGGTGTACTGGAAATTTTTTATAGACGAGTTGATCAATTTTCTCATAAGAAAGTTGCTTCACCGTTAACTTACATACTAGGACGGGTTCTTCACTGTTTCACCAAATAGAGGAACGCATTCTGCAGGTGTCCCACTATTTAAGTTAACGGTGAAGTAAGTTTCTTATGAGATAATTGGTCCCATGCTGGCAGGACGAAAGGAAAAAAGAAAACCTTTCTGATTATCTAATTAAGTTAATTAGGCACGATTGAGCGTGCCTACGCTAGTTGAGATTAGTGAGATTTCGATTCGCAAGTAGTCAATTTTTATTTAATGTTGATTAATGTCCCATGATTATAAATGTCAATTTAACGGATTTGTTGATTAATTGCGACTGTTCGGCAAAAACAAAGCGAGCAATTGTAGGCTATCCTGTTCCTAACTGATTGTGGCTGTTCACTAAATTTCGTGTACTTGAATTTAAAAAGAAACCGCATGTATCACCATCAAAAAATTAACGGTACTTCATTAATAGAGTCCCGATTTCTAAACGATCGGATAGTCGTTTGTTTGTTGAGTGAGCATTTAACCGCTGTTTTACTAAGATCGAGAGCAAACCAAGAGAGGAGATTCCATCCATTTATCGACTAATCGAGACTGTCATATGACGTGCCGCCTAATTGCGATTTTGCTTGTATCGCCATTAGCTGTGATGGATCGATTAGCCGATTACAAAATCGATCAACTCACAAAAAACCCAAATACTCTGAGATTATTATGACTTCGACAGGCAGCTGTGATAGTGTAATTTACCACTAAACAACTAAAATAAGAAGAATGTACAGAATAAACTACCATTTGCAATTGTAAAATAACTACGGGGAATAATGTGTAGTTGCTCGTTGTTATTTTGAAATATTCTTTCTCTAACTTCAAAAGACTGTAAAAGACACATTCCAGTTGTCAAACAAACATTTCATTTTTACTTTCAGCCGCAAAAATGGTCAAACCGTAGAATCGTAAAGCGCTAAAACCGTAGGAACCTAAAACTGATAAGTCACAAAACCACAAAACCGTAGGATCGTAAAATTACAGAAACCTAAAACCGTAACATCGTTGTAAATTAAAATTGCAGAATCGTACGATTTCTCAGCTTTGCCATCTAACGACGTTTTACAGCTTCACGAGCTATTTCGGTGAACCGGCCTGAATTACCCCAACCGAGAAATTACCCACCGAACTACCATAATGAGAGTCTTTTATCGTTAGAAAGCGACTTATCGAGTCACAACAGATTTGGCTGGAGTATTTTTGCAGACGAGTTGAAGAAAAAATCTTTTTTGTAAATTACTTCTAAGAATCCCTGCTCAGGTCTTTCGCATTACCGAGATAAGAGACATTCTTTCCTAAAAAGCACCTCTTATTTATTGCTCCGAAGGCAAGACGTTTTGGTGAATTGATTACTTAGGCAACTTTATACTTAAATTCTCTGGCAGCCGTAATTTCATAAATTACATACGCAGGTAGAGTTAGCTGGATAGGCCGATATTTAGCTTCTGCATCTCCACCGGATTTTACTAGGAACCAAGTTATCGAAAAGACGAATATGCCATAAAGCAGTAGGCATCGTGTAATAGGCTGGCAGTGGGGACTGAAGATTGACATATGAGGGTCAAACTTCCGAGAGGTACCAAACGAGAAAATCGATCTGCAAAACTGCCCATTTTTTATATTCTGCTTACTTTTGGTCTCATCTGTACCTCAACCAGAACAGCGGTACGAATCGAACCAATTATCCATTGTAGAGATCTACATATGCAATAGACATAAAAGACCTTCAATGACGTAATTTCATGTAAAATAAATTGTACGAAAGTTTTGTGTTTTATTCCAGTTTAGACTCTTTTTAGGGTTTTTACGAAAAGCCATTACACTACCGTGTCATAGCTAGCTCATGGGCAATACTCTGAACTGAGCATAGCAACGGTCATGCAGCTAAATCATTTCGGTAATGAAGTACCATCAATCACATTTATTTTTTACTTTTCTTTTTTTAAACCATGTGCATTAATATCAATCAATGATTGTTATTCATCTTTTAATGGAGAAGTGGCGAAATGAAAAAGATTATTTGTTAATCTAATAAATGGTTGTTCAACAAAACAATGCCATATACAACCAATCAATAGAGATATAATTAATGTAAACATAAAACAAATTGCTGTAGCTAAGTCCGTATGAACTATTAATAATTTATTTAATGGTCCTTTATAAACAAGATCTGATGCTATGCGAGAATGTAATAAATAAACAGAATAACTTAATTTAGCTAATAGTGTAAATAGATGAGAACTTAGAAGTTTTTTTAAATATTTCTTATAATATGGATGTTGCTTATCAACTAACGTTGTATATAATAAAAATGCAAAAATAATTGAAACTAATTGTCGAATTGAACACATTAAAATTGTTACTATAATTTCTGATAGTTTGAATTGAGTTATTTTTAATTGACATATAATACTTAAAAATAAACAAAATGTTAATAGACAATAAATGAGTTTTTTAAAACGATTATCGGTATTATTGTTTTGTATATTTTGTCTTGATAATAATAATTTTACAGCTAGTAGCGAACCAACTATAAAACTACCATATCTCATATGTAATGGGAAATAAAAATATTTGAAATGAGTTCTTAACATAATTGAACTTCGAATATAATTTAAATCATTTGTCACTAGTGTTTCATTTATTAATAACGATACTAAATTATTAAATTCAAAATATACATTGACTTGTGTATAATTTAGTCCAATTAATGGATGAAATTGTACATCTTCTTTCAGTAGATTCATTATTGTTGAATCAAAATAATATAAACAAATACAGATGATAATAATAATATATATAAAATATCATAGATTTGTTTTAAGTTTAATTTATATTTGATTGATAGAAAATATATTAATATAGATAATAAAATATAGATTTGAAAATCAAGACTATTTGACCATGTTATAAACAATGATAAAGACCAATAATCAGTATTTATATAATTTGGTATTAATGGTAAATGGATAAAATATTGAATCCATTTTTTATTCATTGATGAATCATCAAAAATATATAGATATAAATAGATTAATCCTAAACTAGGTAAATAACGTAAAAAACGTTTAAAAATAAATAAATAAATATTTATGTTTTCTTTCATTGTTAATATTTGATATGTTAATAAAAAATCTTTTAAAGGTTGAAAAATGAATGAAGACGACGACATTTTTATAAATAGAAGGCGAGAGAAATTTGAAACAATTAATTGTATGTTATTTTTCAAAATGGCACAGATCAAGAAATTTCTAAGAACGATGTAAATCATACATGATCCTATCCACGATTCTATGTAATTCTACCAGAAATGCATAGAATGTCTGGATGTTAACTTAACGCAATATGTTCTAAGTGGCGTTTCCAAGTGAGGTCAATGAACAGGTCTCATATCAAATAATTTTATGGCTGTTGAGCGTTTAATTTTTATATCGTTAATAGTAAGCGACATGGATGGATAGGCATTAAGTACAATAGAACATATTATCCACTCACATTTTTTTATGTTGAGACCAACGAAGTTAGTGTCACACCAGCAAGTTATCTCATCAATACAAGATTGAGCCTCATCCAGATCACAGAGTAGAAATAGATCGTCGGCAAAAAGGATGTTAATAGCGGAGAAGCTAACGATTGTGGTAAGTCATTTATAAATATGAGGTAAAGTAATGGGCCTAAGATTGCCCCTTGAGGAATTCCGGAACTAACAGAAACAAAAAGAGAAGCGATCTCGCCTACTACAACTTTTTGTGTCCTTTCTGTAAGATCGAATTTGAATCAGTCGAAAAGAGAGCCAGAAATACTGGAGGATGAGAGTTTCCTTAGTAAAATATGATGGGGTATGCGATCAAACGCTTTCTCAAAATCAAACCCAATGCCAACAATTTTATGTCGGTTATTCAAATGCTGATAAATGTTGTGAGTAATAAGAGTAGAGGGTCGATTGTAGAACAATTAGGTCGGAAACCAAATTGACTAGATGAGAAAAAGTTAGTAGATGTCAAGAACGAAAGCAGGTGCTTATGAATTAATTTTTCGCTGATTTCTATATACTATATTCAATTCATACTCGCATAGCGTATATTTTCAGTATTGTGAACATTTATATGTAATTGATAAACCACCAATGAATTGTTCAGTTCGATTTTTGCAGACACCTTGAGTTTTGATAAAACTTAATAAATCAGTTTCGTTTACACACGTAAAAACTAATAGCCATGTCTTTCGAGCCATAGTTTGTTTAATAGTGATAGTAATAGTCAAAAGTGATGTGAGTGAAAAAAGTATGAAAAAAGATGTGACCGCTACACATTGCTATTGTTTATGTCTCAATACCGTCTTTATATTCGCACCACACGTCAACCGGGATCAATTCTCTTGTTCGCAGAAAGAAAAAATTTCAGGGGATCAATTTTCCGGGATCAATTCTGCACAATAAATATAAAAATTAGTTTATTCCGGGATCAATTCTGTCGAAAAAAATTTTTTATTCTAAATCCGGGATCATTTCTACTATTTTTATCGAAAGTTTAGTATACGGGATCCATTCTGCAATTTTTACGGGATCTTTTCAGCTTTTATCCTAAGGAAATGGCATGATACCCTCGCTCATTATTCTTTTTTATAATTTTCTATATGTCGATGCACATTCTATGAAATTTTCAACGAATTTGGAGCTTCTGAAAATTTCGGAAACTCTTTACACTGAACATAGCTCTCAGAAAAATCGTCTCGTTTGGGAAAAAACTCTTTTTCGCTAAAAGACTTGATCTGAGAAGAACTTGTACATTCAAGTAAAGATACTATTTTATTCTAGCAACTAAGAAGAGAAAAAGAAAACTAACTGTAGCGTTCAAAGTGATAATGATCACTTAGAATCGGGACGATTCCATAGTCCAGTCAATTAAAAGTAGAACTTAAATTTTGATTTTCTTTTCGAAAACTGTGTATTGTTGTCACGCATCCTCCATTTGATAGATATTGTAGCTATGTATGATTGTATAGTACAACTCAACTATTAGTATCATTTCATTAACAATGAAAAGAAAAGAAATAAAGCAGAACAAATATAATCGTTGACTATTTCAGTGATTATATTAACTTGATTATTATTTATTCATGATTGCAATAAAGAGCGAATGTCGTATACTTTTTATATTGCCGGATGAAATCAATTAATTCTGTTTCTTTATTGTAAAAGAGTAGAGAAGAAACGGATCGGTTAATGATGGAAAGAAAGCTGCCATTCGCCCAATTACTGTCAATGCACATGTTTTTGGAAGGACGAGCATTGTAATGGAAGTGTAAGATATTATCTAGAAGCAAACACATATTTAAAGACAAGAAATGGAGTTCTACAAGGTATGTAAATAGCATGAGGATATTAACAAAAACTATAGCCTGTTTAAACAAGGCGCATGACTATTTTTTAAATATCTCGAGAACTAAATGTGGTAGAAAGTTTGGGATCCAAACTGTGGGTCGTCACCATTCCAAAGAAGAGGCCGCGGGGTACATTTTTATAACAGATATGAATCCGAAAATAATTTAAAATATGTTTTCGAGATCTTTGGAAGATCAACTCATACCTCAGAAACTTCAAGTACGCATATTTTCATATTCCTTGATGGACGTCAAAGTGTCATTTTTGAGGGAATGGGCTCTTCGGTGTTTCACTAAATAGCGAAACGCATTTTACCCGATTAAATATTGTTCATTTTCAATATTTTGTTTTTCTTCTTGTGTTTGAACTCATTCAGCTATGATATCCACCATTTTACGGGCGTGATAGGAGAAATATAGTGAAGGATGAACCAAGAAGTACTGTGCACTGGATGAATGTCCCCTTGCTAAATTCGATGAACGCAGATTCGCTGAAAATGTTAAATTCTCAAAATTTAACATTTTCAAAAGTGCCGGAGAGAATATTATCTTGGACGACATAACCAGCACGATATGTGAAATCATTTAATTGTGGCTGACCGTCGATAAGTACCTCTCCATCTTAAACCTTGGTGACTTATAGTATATATCACACTATTTAAGAGACAATTCGTGGCCGCGTCGAGAAAATCGATAAAACCTTCGAAAAATAATTTATTTTTTAAATGTAATTTTCGGATTCTCTGTCCAAAGTTACCTATGAATCCAGACTTTTAGCCTTTGAAAACTTTTTCCTCATTGAGAAAATTTTCTTTTAAAAAAGGTACCAACAAGTTTTCGTTGGTTAAGGTCGTTAAAAAGTGATGAATTGTGTACTAGTGAAAAGCAAGTTTTACGAAAATTAGGATTTCTAGGTTCTTTTTACATAATGTTAAAAAATTCACCATTCACTCAGAAAACCGAAGAACACGTTTGGAAACATCAGGATGTACAGTTCTTTCGTATTTTATTTATAGGAAATGTACGAAAAAGAATATGCAAAACCCTATGGTTTTCTACAAAAATTTCTAGGAAATTCTTAAACCAAAACATTGTTTCTCAATTTTTTTGATAATATAATCATGTTTGATGGACAAAACTAAGCGTCCTAATGTTGACCCTAAATTTCCGTTATGGCCACGTTCCAGTAGGCGTAGAAAGGTTTCTTCATATGCTTTCTATTTCGTTGTATCATCCGAGCACATACGTTTGACCCGATGTGCCAATGTGGTAGATATGTTTCCAGTAATATGGTTCGGATAAGCCAATTTCTCTCTTACATACTGAAATGTGTCTGTTGGTTTAACGAAAATTCTGGTCGCTAGTTGATTTTTTACATAGTCTTTACAAATGACTACATCCAAAAGGTTGATCTGATCATGGTCAATATTGTCAGTTTCGTATTTTAAGCTAGGATGAATACTTTTCACTTTATTCAGAAATTCTTCAAACTTTTGTTTTTCTCCTAACCATATAAAAAGGACATTGCCTAGATATCGAAACCGTCTTAACGGTTTCAAGTCCATTTTTAATAAGTGTTTCAACTCATGAATTAAAACAAATATATTTGCATAAGAGGAGCACAAGGAGTTTCACATTGCTGTTCCGAATTTCTGTTTATAGAATTTTCCAGCGCCAAACACATTATTGCTTATTTTTCTCACCCTCACCCACCCTCACCTTCACGCCCACCACACATCACCAAGTCTAGTCATGTTACGCCAAATTGACACCTTCTAACATAGTACTATGCATTGAGGCGACAATAGCTGTCAGTGACCCCTTCTGAAAGTGGCAAGAGCTATTCCGACATTTTTTTGTTATAGTTAAGCTAACTACTTATTCCTTAGTTTATATTTTATTTTTCTTAAGTCATTTCTTTAACACAATCTTAATTTCTTAAGTCATCTGCTTACATAACATCTATAATTTATTTGTGTATGTTGGATATTTCAAATCACCACATTAAGAGTATCACATTTTTAGCTCCAAATGGGTGCGCGAAACTATTTTAGTATCACTCTGTAAGTGATGGTTTCAAATGTGAAAGAGTGTCTTGCAATAGACGACCTATACTAGAAGGCTAACCTATATTAGAAGGTCACCCTTTTTAAAAGGCGACCCCTAGGTCAGTGTTTCAAAGGACATATTAGAAGGTCGCTGACAACCTAGTGCAAACCAGAAGACCACCCTTATTAGAAGGCCAGTCAAAAAGCTGCGATTCATCGGGACATTTTAGAAAGCCATGGTCTTTTATTCTGGGGAAGGGGAGGTATCTGTGTTGGATGGAGACATCGACCAGGTAGCTCTGTGGTTAGAGCATAGA